CGGACTCAACAGATGCCCTGTCAGTGGCTGTTGTGATACCATACAAGGTCGATCGATTATGTCAGCCTTTTACCCCCAAAGCTGGAAGTTACCCCATGTTACAGCATCCGTCATTTAGTGCCATTGACACACTAACGAGGTCAAATTGTTCGTTCGATGCAAGCTTCACTTTCGACGGAACATTTGAGACGTTTGCAATTCATAATTGCAGTGCTACGTTTGAAAGTCTCGCGGTTTTATTGAAACATCTCAGTACGAAGAAGATGGAGACAAACGCTCAGCTAGCGGCGTGTTTCTCTTCTCCACGACTTCAGATGTACATGATCCTGGCAACTCTGCGCATTCTCCAAGCGAATCTGTCGCAAATGTTACGATCCGGCCTGGCCAAGACAGTCATCTTAGTCTCTTCAGACGCCACGTCACGTAACACTGAGCTGGAATGTATGCGCGTAGCAATTCTTCAAGTTCGTGACGTGTTACTATCGCTAGTTGACCTCAAAAGTCGACGGAATGTTTGTCACATTCTTGAAAATTCACCAAATGAAGGCGAACATGTCGGTAGAATTGCGGAAGACGCTGTGGCCACATTGATGCAGGGATTTGAGCTCTTCTTCCCGTGTCAATGTCTTCAGCGTCAGTTCTGTATGCACACGATGCACGAGCTCGCAAGAGACAACCCGGGAACATTCGTGTGGTCTGCTTTGTCGACGTGATCTGTGGCTTATTGATAAGTTACCGAAGTCGAAATCGCTGCTACTTGAGCCGCTTTTAAGGAGACTGACGGAAGATTCGCTTATTGTCCGGTTTTTACCTTTGATATCTGCTGTTCCGCCAGAGAATGAAGACGTTAGAACGTCGATAATAACTGAAGTGTATCAAGTTCTTCTCGAACGTATCGCTGCCGATTTCTCAAGACGGTTAGGAGACGTAGTAGCTGACGTTAACCCACGACAAGAAGGCACGTTAAGAGCGTTCTTTAACACCCTCGCTGGCCTGCAGAAACATCTCTCTAGTTGGGCTGCAAGCACTCCGGAGTGGACTTTAAAAGAGGATACAAAGGCACAACTCGTTGCTGGCATTGAAGAGCGTGTAAGCTGTTGTGGTGGGTTGTATTGCGAGAAATTTTGCTGGGGGAAGGTTTATTTTGGGTGTGAATCCTCTTTTCCCCCGGGCCCGCGGGGGTTGTTTTCCCTGGGATTTCCCAATTGGCGGTCTTGGGAAAAAGTTGGGCAAGGGCTAGGCCAGTAGTTCCAGGAGACCAGCCTAGTCCAACATGGGTACGCAAGCTTCGAATAGGGATGAGTCCTTACGCGGGAAGGTATTGGAGACTATGGAACATTCGATTGCTGGCCAGTTTTTACCACTACTAGTGGTAAGTTTGTTCGAGTTTAGTAACAATTCTCTGTTCGCGGCAACTTTGTTGCCGAGCTTGAAGAACTTACTGAGGCTGTTAGATGGGCTTAATCAGCAAGATAGCGACGCGCAACAAGCCGAGAAAGATTTTGTGGAGACGATGGGCTCTTCTTTACATTCTCGATCGTCAGAGAAAGAAAGTTACGGCACTGGTAACTATCGACGTAAGAGCGAAAGTAAATTACTTACGGAGGGTCAAACGGCAAGAAAAGGAGTGTCAGCGTCCGATGCGATGACGATGCCGTGGCTCTACCGACTGGAAAAAGAGCTGGCTGTACTGACAGCTGAGATGGCAGTGACGCTAGTGAGTGGAGACCCGTATTTTACTTACCAGGGCGACCACGGTACCACGAAACTTTCAGCTCGTTGGCTAACGAGCTCGTTACTCAGAGGTGGCTTGAACGCCAAGTACCTGACGCAAAACATCACACAAACGGACCCACAGCGGTCGCAACAGGGTCGAACGGTTAAACACACGCCGTTCCCAGTACTGGCAGCACCTCTGGGACTTAATACTCCACCGTTCTCGTTAATACTCCCTCCAGCGTCGGAAAACGACGATATTACCCCAGACTGGCAACAACCTACGGATATAAACTACGGAGAGATATTCCGACCTGCTTCCGTTCACAAATTCCTGATTTTGCTTCAACAAGGAACAAATTCCGAGACCCAAAACGAAGTGAAGTTGTGTGACTGGGTGCGAGATAGCTACGCGAAGAAAGACCCGTCATATCGAATGATCTTGCGACAGTCTCAACTCTCCAAGGCTTCGACGCACTCAGTAAATGACACGCAGATAGAGGCGGCGTGCTTCGCAGCACTTCTTCATCACAATATGCTCGGCACTCAGGCGTATCACTTCGCTTTGGATTTTAGAAATACGACGCAGAATCGCTCTCCCCCTCGAAGTTTCATGCGTTTGTGGCAGTTTGTAGCTCAGCTGCGACGACGTGTGGCCACTAAGAAGACGGAGATCAAGAATCTTCCTCCAAAAGTCTCGCAATTAATCACATTGGATCGCATTTCCGATCGACAACAAACGATTTCCGATCGACAAAGAAACTCATCGTTCAAGATGTCCAAGAAGCGCAGATCACATGAATCATCAGCTGGCGCCGAGACATAGCAGCTATAACAACCAGCGCGCTTCACTTCTACACGACGCGTGAAC